CGCTAAACCCATCTGGATAGTTATATTACTTCCAGTTTTTGTGTGTAAATATAGTAGAACATATACACTTGGATTGGCACCATACAAAATTTAAGCGTTATGTCACGAACGCAAGCTTAAGTGATCAATAGTTAGTAGTCTGCCAAGTAAAACAGGTTCATAACGTTGAAAAGAATCTTGTTTTCGCAAAATGCCAACTTCGAGTTTAGCTACATATAAACTGGCTTGTTTCTTACAGTAAAACGCACTAAATTTAAATATACACCTCATACTAGCGAGGCGTTTGTTGATTCTCGCTACCGTTTATATGGAACCTGTGGGCCCACATACTTCAAATGCACATCTTACATGGGACAAAACACCGTAAGTGGTTGTCTTTTTCCCCGTCAGCTTACGCACGATCTTCATCAACTAGGATACACTTTGATTCCGAGCACCATAGAGCTTATAGCGGCATCATACAACGAGACTGGGTGTTAATGTCCTTCTGCTTGTTAGCTATCAGACGCAAATGCTCATGTCGAAACTTTCCCCACCCAGCAGAGCACATTTAATCCGTTTTAATTATCATCAATAGCCCCCAGGTTTCTGAGGCGAGCAGTCATGACTTGAAGTAGACTTACCGTGGGATAGGCGCTTTAAAAGCTGGAACACCTGACATTCGTTTGAAGTACATTCTATCATCGTCTCACTTTCCTAACAATCTGGGGCGTCCATGTATGTCTATAAGCCGGAGAAAATTAGGTTCCTGTGTTTAGAAACTCGTGTGAAGGAAAAAGCACGCACCATGAGATCAGTTTTGTGTTGTCGAGGCAACCATTTCCGTCCTCCTTTTTTGACGGAGCTGTAAAATGGGGCCAGCTTGACAGGTTAGTGATAGAGACGGGTGGAACATGCCTCTCTGCCTTGCTCTTTTTGACTTCTTGTTGGGATCTATTCAGCTGAGAACTTAAGCTACCATTTTGCATCCTAGGAACTAATTCCTGGGATGGTAACTATGGACAGTATTTTTCAAAACGTAGAAGAAAGCCAGTATTTACGGCTGCCATCAAATTTACATCGCTGTCAAGATTGAAGTTTGTTCAGTGGAAGTATACCAAATGCACAAGAGGACACTGTTGGTACGGCAAGCGAGGTTGCATCGCTACTAAACAGAGCACCGATCCTACACGGACCAAGTGGATTGATCCTTATGCTCTACTTGTTGTGATATGATATGGTAGAGTACGGTAGTACATCATGTGGTAACCATTGGGCGGATTGTAGGTCGCAAGTGAACTATAACCTCGCTGTGCCACTACCCGTTAACTTGACACAGGACACTGTCTGCAGTTACGTGCAGTAGTTGATACTCAATAAAATCTGTCGGTGAGGATGTAACTTTTTTCAATATGACCTACTGCAACTCAGTCACGACACTAATTTGAGGGGCCACCACCTCAAGTTATCCGCGCAATACAGTCATTTAGAATGTAGGCGAAGCGTTTATTCTGTTTGTGTGTTCCAGCCAAGGAACGCTCTTCCAAATCACATCGTTTCCGCCCCCGGTTTATCTTTGTTTAAAATAGACCTTGACGTCACCTTAACCTACCTATGTTACGACATATAGCCTGTGTATATCGACAGAGGATCTAATGTGATGGGCATTGCATAATCAGAATTAACTCACACAATCGATGTTGACTCTTTCCTGAATGCCTCTTTGTGAGCACTGTGGTGAGTCTATTATGACGATTTTCATTTTCGCACTTTGTTTTCTTTTCTCCATACTGTGTTTCTCATTATGTCCATCCTACGGGACTTGTTAAGCATCCGCATTTTTATCTGTAATATACCATAGTTCCAGTTCAAGGGAGACACTCAACAGCAAGATGTCTGTAGAGTCTGTGTGGCGATTATTCACTACTGATCAACTTAGGAAGAGTTAGCTACTTACGTCAGTGACCAGCCGAACTGCACTCCGAAGCTAATTTTGTCGGTTTACCAATAATGGATCAAACCAATTTCATGTTTCTTCTACTAAACAACAAACAGTTGTCGCTATTTACTTGTACGAATGCGATTTACTACTGCCATGTGTCAGAGAAGCAAATTGCGATGTATTTCCCAGTTTATTCGCCCATGTCTCCTCTGGGCTACTATGAAAAAGTGCATTCGTACGCTGTCTGGTTTTGAAGTGTTAGGGCAATATGCAATTATCTTAGCGGTGTAAATGTTTGTGACTCACTTATCGTTTTTACTACTAAAATGCTACTGCACTCTGTTCCTTTGGGGACCCGAAGCATGGATTCTACCGTGATCGATTTAGGATAACACAGTGGCACAGGACATTTGTATGGTAAGCAACATCCACACGGAAGACCTATACATTACGCTAGTATGTCGAAGTGATTGGTAATTCTTTAGCCATAGTCCTTATGTGTCTAGATCCATCATCATACCGGATTACATAGCGAAGACGACAACGGGGTCTAGGTAACGTTGGTACCACAAATTTTTGACTAATTGCCTACAAACCATGAATATATGTAACATGTAGTATATGTAACAAGAGTTGAGATGGCAATTAATTACTAACCGTTCTGGTCTACTAAAGGCAAGAGGTAACATGAATATAGCACAATACCACAGGCAATCGGAAAAGCTAGTGTAACTAGAGTGATTAGTTGTGAGTGACTTTCATTGCGTGAATAAGGCTGGATCTAGCTTTATCATCATAGTCAGACATTTTACACTTATGCCTCTTGCTGAAATGCGTTTAGAAATACGTTTCTGAAGTAGACATCGCGTGCAGTTTATTCCACATGTGTTTATGAACTCGGCCCAAACATGGATGCCATAACCACAAAGGCATTTTGGCATTATCCGCTATTAGGGCCGGTTTTTCTCGTCTCTTCAGTCTGCTATAGCTGTATAAAAATGCTCGCCTATATTGCTGGCTCACAGGCGCAGCTGGGTGGGAGAGTTTCAGTGTATCAGTGAAAGGTTTACTTTGCACCAATAAATCCTTTCGTATGTTGGTGCGGGATGGTCCGGTTAATCGCACCGTACTTGCCTCCTACGCCTTCTATAAGCTTACTTATTAGGAAATATCCAGTTGGCACTGTTTCATTCCAGACGACTATTAGTGGAAGTTAACTGATACACCGATGAAACATTTTCCGTGCAGTATCTCGCTTTTATGGCCAAGTACAAATGCTTTTCGGGGAAGTTATTGAAAGCCTCCGATCGTTATTTCATACCCCAACATAAATATACGTTTTCTACGCTACAAATTCTATGTAATCACAACCGTGCTGTTACTAAATTCCTTTTGGTAGCGCAGCTGTTGCATTCGGCATAGTTTCGGCTTCGGAAAATAGCCACACCCATGTGTTCGGATAGTTAAAGATGGCGCCATCTCAATCAATTCAGTGAAACTTCATGTGCCGACCTGCGGTACCAAATATTACCACTACAGACAATTAGCCCGTTTTCATCCAATCAATCGTCGGTATCATGCCGAACATCATAGACGGAACTAGTAGGAACACTTTTCGCATTGATATACCATGACCCACTCCAGTTTTTGAGATGCCCTATGTTATTAGAGTTGGCCCGTTTGATTTACGCCCATCTATCTTCAAAGTAACAGCGTCGATCGACAAGTTAGAAGCGATGGTTTAAGCATATCACAGTTTATAGTCCGAGGACCGATAACCTACGGACAAAAATTTAACAAAAACAGGTAATTGTTTGCGCTTTGGAAGGACGCTTTGATGTGGCTGGTACCCAACCCTGATCGTGCACACTTATGTGTTTAAGTTGCCACTAACTAACTTAAATCTGAAGAATTGCCACCAATACTAGCTTGAGAAAAGGTATGAGAAAACTTGATATCGATGATATCAGGAGACAATCCAAAATATAACTGTACAATACAGACAATGATTACTTCCCGTCAGTAGTGCAGTATTTTCCCTAATCCAAGAGGCGACGTGTAGCGTGCAGTCGGTGGATGGCGTTGGAACGCGAGAATGCGTATGGGTATTAGTTGCAGAGTTTTTGTGCTGTAGCTTATACCTGAACTGATCCGATCTGCTAGTATTGGAGGTATGAGCATAGTCACAAAAGCATACGTCTGGATCTACAAATTGGTCTCTGGCTTCTTTTGTGTGTTGCTATCCATTGTGCCTTGGGCAAATGCATTTCCCGATAAATTCAGTAAGATGTCGGATTACAGGGTCAGAGTGTCATATATGGCTGTGATGCTGGCTTTGATTGTCACAAGAGGTACATCGTTCCAGCTTCCGATGAACCCGAATTGATGGCTTGTCGGGATCTCACTGTGTGTAAGTGAAGACAACAACAGCGCAAGGGAGAGAAAGGGTTACCTCTAAATTGATGCGACCTCAAAATTCAATACCGTATTATAGGAAAGTAAGTGCAATTAATCTGCTAGCTTGAAATGTGTCGTTTACAACCCAACCCTTCTCCCCGATGGATGGTAGTCCTTCAGTATGGCTCCACATGGCGCTTATTCAGCTAGATTTCTATCAGGTATCTGCATGAGTATCATGTAAACATTTTGCTCGCTGAATCTAGCGAACCATTTGAACAACCCTTCAGTAAATTAAACGACCCAGGACAGTTCAACCCTGAGTAGAATAGACCACACCGTCTCACAAACCGCCGGCCTTTTCGGCTACAGTAAGCCCACTTTGTTTAGTGATTATCCACGTGACTGAAAATCTATACTTGTATCTCGAAAAGCAAGTTAGTGGAGTAGATAATTTTGGCAGTTATTTGGTGACGTCTTTATGTGTAGAATTCTGTATTCGATGGTGCAAATCCGTTTGTATTACGAGTGCGTGCCCCAACCAATTCTTAGTCGTATTAGTTGATGGATGTAAGGTAAATTCGCTTTTACATATGACACGAACCGTACTGTCCTCAGTAAAACGGAATTCATGTAAGCGGAATCTTCATTTACTACTGTGGTTTGATCTCATTCTCTACAGTCTGCGACCTGATTCTCGGGTCTATGATCCTTGCTGTACTCCCAGAAACGCAGTCCACAAATTTCCAATATCTGCGTATTGAAGGACCCGAGCACACTGCAACTGTTCTCAATCAGACCGCATACCTCAGGTGTCAACTGAAGTTTGCTGCGGTAAACCAGACGCAATCCGGCGCGAATTTCCTGCCCATTTTGAGTTCTCTACAAAGGAAGCATAATTTGTGGTACGGGTCGTCACATGGAAGTTTGCGATCGCTATCCAAATTTGTCGTGCAGTGGATGAAAGATGGATTTGGTTATGACAATGAGTCCCTGATGAACACTTTTCATGGACGATATCAAATGACTGGACTGCACCAGAATGGTTCGTCCCATTACTCGAACTGTTATGTTGATGTTTTCTAGAGCGCATGAAACTGTGCTCAGCTTTTTGATTCTTAATGTCAACAGAAGTATCCCAAAATTCATCAGAAATGTGGGCAGCTGATTTTCATTATTTCTTGACAGACTCTCTCAAAAACAATTTTGTTTACGTAAGCATAAGTGCCAAATAGAAGTTAAACCTTTTACGAGGACAATCAGAAATAGCTAAGCGATGCATCAGTAAAATGTTTATGCTAACTAACTGAATTAAAATGAACACCATCCAATCTCATTTTCTCTGCTGGAATTCTTTGTGGATTTGTATGGACGCGAAAAAATTTAGGTATTATTAAACTAAGAATAAGGTTGCCACAAATGGTTCACTGCTGGTTCGCTCCGTGAGCCGCTGTGTATCCGCTGCTGCCTGAAAATTAATTGATGTTGAACCTGTTCTACTCTATCTCCCGGTTGCTTTCAAAATGTACTGGCATTATAGACTTAACTGGAACATACTAATTGGAAGGTATCACTTTCCTCCTCTCAGGTGACTATTCCCTTGCCATTCGGAATACGCAACTTGAGGATGAGGGGGAGTATGCGTGCCAAGTAACAGTCTCAACAATCCCCATTCAGTTGGATCCCGACGTTGCGACGTCGACTTCCATGACAATCGGACCAAAAAGCGAGGCGAGATCGTCAGTCGAGTCATCCAAGATGCGTCTGATCAAAAGCGAAACTGCACGACTAACTATTGTTGGTAAGTTAAGCTGTGGACTTAGATAGAAGAGAGGCGTTTTCCACGATTTTTTATCAAGCGGGTAGTGAACAGCAAGACGAAGAGCTTTATACTTTTGAAGACGGGCGCGCCTTTCATATACTGAATGCGCCACACGCGAGCCATTGCTGGGGATAGTGTCAGTTTTGAGGTTGGATGGCTACCAGTACCATAACTTGCGAGCATATCGCACATTATTTGACATCATGCTCACAAATGCGTTCAAATCCGCAACCTGGTGGCTATCGGCTCATCACATTGGTTTCTAGGCCATCCAACTCCCCAAACAAGGATTACAATGTTATATAGGAACTTGCTCGGGTAGTGATGGGTTTTGAATTGTTTGATCCACTTCAGTGCAAGTCACAAACGCTGTTGGGAATGCGTAGCCGCATTTGCACACCCAGTAGCACGGGCAATTTGTCCAGCAGCAAAATTGGGGCATCGTTCCCGACTGACATATTTTGTTAGCATGTTTCCCAAGTAAATACACTCCAAGGTGTTACCTGCTTAAATAATATATCCACTAAATAAAAAGTTACTCGCCGGTCGGTTACCCAAGGCTATCCTCTCACCTCCAAGTTGTGCAACTTGAATTGTGCACCAACTTTGATTCTGAACCTCTTCAGCTAGATTAATTGAAGCAATATTATGAGCGCGCAGCGTGAGCGAGCGTGAGCGAAAGCACAATGTATACAGCGATATTAAATTCCGATGGCATTTAGGACGAATGCAGTGGTTTTGGAAATTATTGAGAGTACCTGTAGCTTTGGGTGTGGATGAGAGTGATATTGATATTTTATTTATTATTTATAATAGGTATCCAATGGATGTTACCTTCAAGTCAATCAATGTCATGTGTAAGCTCTTGACGTTGGTGCTTCTGTAGCAGTTGGTCAGTCGTAATACGCAATATACTTTCACTCCCTTAAAGAAAAACGTCACATAAATTTTTAAAACACCAGCAGCTGTAAGAAGAGTTTGGGAACATTTTTACCAAGTTTTTCTCCACATGCAATGGGCGCCAAGTGTACTGTTGTATTTTCGTCCTTCGTAGACTAGTCTGTCATCTACTGTGAGTGGTCACCAAACACTTATCTAGGCCATTCAAGTGGGAATTCACCCCCATTGGCATTTACCAGTTCGGTTACACACTTGTTATATGCATTCCACTTCAATAGGTATTTGTCTTTACGTAAAGGTCGAGCGGATGGCACTTTCTTAAATGACAAAATGTGCAGAGGTTTAATGGAGAAAAACGGGGTTTTGAACCGAAAAAGTCCTCGTCCTTCGTATTTTCTCATGAATTCGACCATGTTCGTAAAGCTTGTTGTCACCCAAGCCTTTAAATCCGAAAGCTTCGGCGGCCCAGTTGTCGAGACTACACACACACCCACACCCACACACTCACACTCACTCTGTCTTTGATCTTAAGGAATACAATGTCGTTCGGCTACGGTTACGGTTCGAATACCGCACTATTCATTGGATCAGACACAACACCATAACATCGATGGTAATGATATCACAGTAAGCCAGAGTACTAATTGGTCGGACGATTTATTAATCCTAAGCACAAATGGAATTCTCGAACTGCTTGAGATTACCGTAATGCATTAATGGGACAAAAAGGGTCTGGTGCTTTTCTGGACTAGGCTGTGCTATGTAGCTTGTGAACTACTGGGATGAATACTTTAAAAGTTACAACTAAAATCCTGCTGCTCAAGAGTAATAATACATTCTGAATGTAAAAGAGATGAGAGAGCTAAGTAGTTTCATCAGCTACAACAGCGAGACAGTAAAACATGGGTCATTCACCTGCAGGAACTTATATTACGTCCTTATAGAAATGGAGTATAGTAGTCGTCATTGCACAACCTAACTGTGTGGATTTTCTGTTGCACATGATGTCATATGGACAAATGTTTACGCTTCTGGACACAAGAAAGGATAGCTCTGGATTTTGACGATCCTTAAAAAGCGGTATCCCATTGTCAGGTAAATTTAGGGTGCCTAAAGTAACTAAAACGCCCATAGATGTGAACACGTGTGACAATCTGCTGATCATTTATCACATTTGCGAGGTCACCGGGCCTTTAACATTGCCGTGTCTCTAGCAAACCATTCATTAAGGAGTCTAAAATCCTGTAACTATATGGCACCCTATTCTCAGCTCGGTATTGAATAAGAACTCTGAAGGAAAGACTGCGTTTGCAATTCTAACTGATGATTAGCACTCAGGACTATTGGGCTACAGAAACCAATGTCTTATTGCTGTGACTAGTCAAATACCAATTCTAAATGCAGCAACGAATGCAATGGTGTTAATAATCTACGAGCTGATATAACTAGCTGGGAAACAAGCAACCTGATTTCTCATATGAAAGTTTACTAGGTGTCTATCACTAAAACAGAAAGTCTTACCGTCATTTGGCACTGGAAACCATGTTAGTGGGTGACCAATGTAGGCATAGCCAGTGATCCCTGTAGACGGTATTTGTCGGTCGTTTAGTATTTAAATCTATCCGACCGTGAGGTGTAGAAACGTTAAACATATATGGCTTTACTAACAAATGCATATATTAATGGTGGATGTTTGTGAGTAGTGTAAAGTTCGAAGAAAGTAGAAGCCACGATTAAAATTCACGCACAATAATATGCCTCGACGGGGAGTCGAACCTCGGTCCACGAATTTCCGGTCCGTTGCTCTACCACCTGAGCTACCGGTAGCTCAGGTGGTAGAGCAACGGACCGGAAATTCGTGGACCGAGGTTCGACTCCCCGTCGAGGCATATTATTGTGCGTGAATTTTAATCGTGGCTTCTACTTTCTTCGAAATGCATATATGTCTTAAAAGCCTTAATAGGTCATGTAGTTGAGTACTGTCTTACAGCGCACAATAACTTCTATGAGTCTATTTCTTACGTAGATTCTAAAGAATAAACTATCAGTGGTCATTCGCTTGTACTGAGTATCCGACACTCATGTGTTTTCCTATAGCTGAGGGAAGTGCCTAACTCTCGCGGATGGCTACTAAAGAGGTTGTGTCGAAAAACACCAAATACAGGGGAAAAATGTGACATCAACCTGCCTTTCGAAATGAATCGATGTGAATAGGAATCCAAATACATTTGGGAAGCGTTTCAAGGTTTACAGACTGAACTATAGAAATAATTAAAAGTAAACTCTGACCTGATATGATATTCAGTAGATTCCATCAGTGACGTCAGGTAGACATTGCGGTTTAGCTCCTATAGGTGTCCGAATATGTGACCGGGATCAATCGGTACTCGACTTGCCATCGTCGTTATTAGACTTCGCCATGACACGATGTTTTATGACGGTAAAACAGCATAGGCCTAAGTTATACCGTAGTTTGGTAATGAAAGAATTTGCAAATTTGTAGAGTACACATGCGGACAAAATACAATGTGTATTCGTGAAGCGACAGGGCGTCATGTTAGATGCAGGAATATGAGAACTAGATAGCCTCATGTAAGAAGGAATAACTGGTGAATATGGCTAGTGCTCATTGTAAAGCAGAATCGGATGGCTCACCGGTCTACACAGATTTACATGCGTCAGTTTGGGTTGTAATTTCAAAGAAGCGAGTTAGCCGGAATACATTCCAAATTATCCGTTTATGTAAAAATTGCATGGAGTTGCGCGGGATATCCAAGCGTCTTTCAATGGCTAGGTTGGGACAATTGTGTTTGGAGGAGCGTCCCATTGTTGGTAGACCCGAATGGGTATATAATTCAATGTAACCAACTAACCTTTTTAATTAGCTATTTTTACGGTGTATTCATACGCATATCGAGGAATAAAGTTGGTACTGCGAACTAGAAACTTGCACTCAGGTATCTCCAAGCCTTTTGCTGAATTGCTCTGTAATCATGGTACATGCACAGGCTATACAAACTTATCCCTCTTGCACAATGCAGATGCAGCACATGACTTATTTGCAAGTTAGCCACAGCTGTGCTGAAAAGGTGGAGGATGCTTGCCACTGAGCACATTAATAACAACAATCTCGAAATTAGCCTCAAGTACAATATTTCCTTCAACACATTACTACGGTAGTCCCTGGTTAAAATGCCACTTTAGTGCCCGTTATAGCTAGTCAACAAATATTGTGTATTGGGTACTTAACAAGGAAGATTTCCAGCAAGGGAAATTATAGTGGGATATCTGCTCGCTGATAATACTTGGAAACTCGCTGCCTCGCGTACACAATATATTGAGATCTTAGAGAACAACGCTCATCAGGCGATCTGGTTTCTTACAGTTTTAATTTGGAAAGAGTAATTAAACAATTTTTGGTGGACAGTCTTGCTGACCCTTCATATTATTACACTGACTGCCTTGATACTGATGTAGAGAAGAAAGAAGAAGATGTGTCAATCATTGCGCAACAAAAGGCACCCGTTTCCGTCCGCCTTGTTTGCCATCTAGCCAAACTACCCGGTCTTTCAGCGCATGAACACAAGACAGACACTTCCTATAAACCCACGGTTGGCGTGCAGCTGACGAAGCAAAACCCCAAACACTATGCATAACGCATCTCGGTAATAGATTAATTAAAATAAATGAGTTATAGTGTGCAATCGCTCCGTTCGGTCACGCATCGAACTAGGTGTCCTGGGCTGCACAACCACACAGATATTCTTACTCATCTGAATCGGGCACCGTTTGGTCTCAGACTTATTTGCAACCAGCTAGTGCCTCTTGGCTTCTAATGACAATTCACTATGACACTCCTTATCTACTTACCGCTTTTAGACGGCGGCTGTTTACTGGTATAAATTACCAGGGAGATAGCCGTCTCACGCAAATTCTACCTAGTATACTGTATATACTTCTTCGTCGATAGCCCATGGTTCCTTTAACGACATGAAGTCTAGTTGAAAGGGCGAAAAATTTCCAATTGTACTGAATGTTGGAGGACAACCGCATGGTCACTGTAACAACTGCAAACAAGC